TGATAGTTTCTCGTTCTTCTTCTCTGGCAGTGGTGGTTAAGCCAGTATGATCAGAGAGGGGCACATCCCTCGTGTAAATGCAGACTAGACAAGAGGGGACAGTTGGGCCTCCTGTCTGTCTCTTCCCTTTCCCAAGTACATTTGAAGGAGAGAAGGGAGAGATACTCCCTGAGGCCCAGCTGTGCCAAAGCAACGCTCCCTGATGCTTCCATGATGGTGCAGAAGTACACAGCGAATGGTTGGTGCTACACAGACCCAGCCAGGCTCAGGCATGGGAAGAGACCAGTGCTAACTGTATAAAGCACTTCTCCACTACAGTTTAAGTCAAACATGTTAGCTTAAATCATCTGTGGTTTAGATTGTCTCTGACAAAGCAGTTGAAAAATGACAACTACCAACTGAGAAGCAGCAGCCTGCAGTTTCTCATGTGAGTTATGAACCTGCCTATGTCCTCATTTGAACATTAGTAAACTTATTTAATCAAATGTGCAGCATAATCCCATGCAACGTCAGCCCTAATAATCTCTGCTGAAGTCAGTGGAGTTCTGTGCCTGTGTTGTGCCCCATGTGAATACATTGAATTGCAGGCCTTTGTTGAAATAATCTTTATCTCCTTTTTCTTAGAAATGTACATGTTTTCCCTTTATTACAGCAGTGTTAAAGTCAAAATTTTACCTAAACTAAATATTTTGATAATGCTAGAATATGTCACTGTAACTCTATTACAGTATAAAAGTTATAAAATGCTAATGTAATAAATCATTAAATAATGAAATGTAAGTGTTTAAAAAAAAATCAAAGCAAGTCTTTTTGACATTACTGAATCACTTTCTCCTTGAAAATTTCCTTGAAATCAAAACATTCTTGTAAAATGTCTTAAGCCCAACAAAACAGCATTTTTTGAGAGAACCGTTTTGTCAAAAACAGCTATTAGTGGTGAGATTTTGGTTTGGAGCAATATATCAAGTTTTTAATGAATCTGACCTTCTCCGAGGTTTGAGACAGTTGAGTCCAAGATTCTGGTTTCAGCCCCATCCCAGCAACATGGTAAAAAGAGGTGAAATATTACAGTTTCTGTTCCTGGGATTTTGTGCAAACCATTTTTTAAACCCCTGTTTCAAAGGAGCTGCCAGGCCCTGAAATTCTCTCAGAGCTTGGCTTCAAACTAATTCTGGTAAAACCTCTGCACGAAGGCTGGAATATGTGTGTTCAAACAAAGAACAACTGA